TCTGCAGGAAGGTGACAGCGATGCTGGGGACAGGAGATGAATGTAGCTGTGTTAGATGACAGGTGTGGTGGGTTCACAAATCAATATCCTTTTAGTCTCAAACCAGTATTTCTCTTTTCGCCCACAAATAGAAAAAATAACAACAAGAGGCTGTGGCTGTCATAGAAATGGTCTCAACACAGGCCACTGTGAGACAACAAAGACAGAGGCTGTATTGATGAACACTCATCCACATGCAGAGGAAGGAAGCCTGCAGGTGCCACACGGCTATGACCTTGACAGTGACACATGGTGCAAGCAAAAGAAAATCATTCCACAGCTCCACCGTGTGGACATGGGTGGGTTCTGCAAGAGAGAGCACACAATAGTTGCCTGAAACCAGAAATCCTCAAGTACAATGTGTACTGTTGTTTGTACTATCTAGTACTACAGTCCTCGCTGAGCTGATATAATGAATCTACCAGCATAAGATCCTTTTTTTTAAAAGTTAATCTTAAGATTGGTGCTAAAATACAGCAGGTGTAGACGGTGCTGGGTTTTCAGAGATTGAAAGACTAATTTTAGATCACGTCCAAGTACAAGAGAGGAAGGAAGGAAGGCAGGAGGTAAAACTGTTGCCAAAAGAGGAAGACACAGAGAAGGTCACAGTAGTAGCTCCACCACCAGGGTGAATAAGTGTGTGCGTGTGTCAGTATGAGCACGAGGAAGGTCTGGAAAGGATAAAGAAAGCACGCCTGCCCACACAGATGACCAGAGAGCAACTATGCCAATGAACAGTTGGCTGCCAAATAATCCATCGACAGTAAGACCGCCAGTCAGAAAGTCAGCCAGCTAACCGTGCACACATGCAAGCTTGCATACACATGCGTGCACACGAACACACCCAGTCAGACAGACAGCCAACAATCCATGCCTGCAAGATGTGTTACTTTCTGTTGCCAGTACCAGCAGGCCAGCAGGCAAACCAAGAGCATGAAGACTCTTCAGTGCTGACTGATCTGGCCTTTAGCTCCGTCAGAGAAACACTAAACAATCTAACTGCATGGTAAAAACTTTTAGCTCGCTCACTGAAGCATGGGCGCTGTTGTTAAACAAGTCCATTAAAGCGTATGACTGATTCACATTTCGCTGCAGATACTCTATAGACTTTTGATGTGACACCTGCTATAAATATCCACTCTTTTCTCCTCTGCTTTCCTATAATGGAAAATGAAGAGTATTTGCTTCAGTATCAGACAGGACAAAACTAGGAACACTAAGCAGTCTAGATATCCGAGTACTGTACTTTTACCTCACCCTCTGTTGGAGAATTTAGAGCACAGACGAGCACCATCATTAAACAGCACACCACCAGCTAACTTAAACTAACAACGTGTTGGGGTTCCACCTAGCAATTTTAACAACCTTAAAGATGATAACGTCACAGCCACGATATCAGACAGCACCGGTGAAGCTCAAAAGCCTCATAGAGTTTGAGACTTAGCATGCAGAAGCTAGTTTGATATCACGTTAAGCACCAACAGCTTATTGGGAAAAGATCTACATACATGTAGATCCTTTCCCAACATCTACATGTTCTGGCTTATTGCTGCGTGTGATGATTTTGAGGGCTTATGTAAACTCAGCATTCCCAAAATATACATAACTTCAATATGAATGCATAACACTCTGCAGGCAAAGAACTTTAACAGGGCCTTAATATTTTGAGGCTATTTTGAACATCTAATTGGCTTTTTAAACATCTCGTGCCATATCTGACTCCTTTTCATATCATGATCTTAAAGAGAAACATCGGAAAGTAGTTTCTCTTCAGGGCACTCATCTTCATCAGGGTTATACCAGCTATTTGCTGCTCGCACTGCCATTACTATAAACCTCCCACAACCATTCATTTAGATAATATCCTCATTGAGACAAGCGTGCCGAGCACCAAAATAGGCTCGTAATTAAAAGATGCTGGGGATTTAGAAGCGGAGGGAGGGGTGGGGGGTTATTAAGGTCCTTCCTTCCAAACGGCACCTGGATGCCACATCCTTCTATATAACTACCAACTAACCCACCCACAGACACACAGTAACATACACACACACACACACACACACACATACACACACAGACACAGGAAGTGGAAGGCATTGGAGGATCCAGACAGGCAGATACAGAGCTGACAGATACAGACACGTACTTTTGCTCACAGACAGACAAACACACGCACTGAGTTGACACTTTGAGTGAGGTAACGTTTCCTCCCTTCTGCCTTCCAAGCACACTTCCTCTGCCTGGAGTAATTGCTGCGTAGCACTTGTCTGGGAGAGAGCGAGCTGCTCCGTTCATTAGTTACTCTAAATATCACGCCATCACTTTTAAAGGCTTAATTTCTCTGCAGTCACAGCCCATGTCTCTGATCCTTCCCCCATCGAGAACCGCATGCTCCCGTTCCCACTGGCAATGACCTAAATAGATAAGTGGTAAATGGTTGGTTGGGGGGTGGTGGTGTTCTTTTGGCAACTATGGAGAAATTAACGGACAACAGGAGGAAAGAGCAGACCAAAGGGAGAGCGTTTGTGGTGGGAGGGCATCAAAACTCAAGTGGAGTGCCAGTGAATGCGTTGGTGACAGAGACCTGCAGTATCCACGCTCTTACAAAAATGGCAAAACAAGACCGACGTTTCCATGGAGACCGGCAAACAGTAATATTTCTTAAGGGACCGCTGAGCATTCAGTGGTGCTTAACGATTGGCTCATTCAGATGCTGCAGACACAGTACCCGAGGGAGATGGCTCACACTGCTGGCCTTGAGAGCTACGAGGCCAGCATGTGTACGGCTGACTGGACCAGACCTGAAGTCACATCAGACGCAAACCCACCTCCAGCTTTTCTACATGCTTTATGCTCAGCTAGTGAAGATGAGGAGCAAGAAGGAAGTAGCAAGAGAGACGATAGCATGCAGATATGGTTTTATGTTAGAAATAATCATTACTGCTGGAATTAAAGGGGTATTGCAGAGATATTTTTTGCTCTAGTAACTAGCTTAGTTAGCCACATTAATGTCATGTATCTTGATCCCCGTGCGACGCAATTACAGTAGAGAAGCAAACCAAAAGTGCTGTCAGCTTGGATACTAATTACCAGCTCAGAGACCATTTTTCTAATAGCCTCTTTCATGCATACACTTTCCTGTGTAAATGCTTGGCCCATTTCACATCTTTGCCTCACGCTTAAAAAAAGACCAGAAGCTGCACAAGGTCAAACATGAATAGAAATAGAACCATATTCATACGGCACACACGCACCATTCTGATGTTCTTGAAAGGAATCTGAATATACACACACAGGCCACTTTGATACTAATCAGCCAATCACATGGCACCAACTCAATGCATTTAGGCATGCAGACATGGTCAAGACGACCTGCTGAGGTTCAAACTGAGCATCAGAATGAGTAAGAAAAGTGATTCAAATGACTCTGAACGTGATGTGGATGTTGGTATTTCAGAGTATTTCAGAGACTGCTGATCTAGACTAGCACACTTGGTGAAAATGTCTTGTTGATACCGTAGATAATGGCCAGACTACTTCGAGGTGATAGGAAGGCAACAGAAATACCCACTTGTTACAACCAAGCTGTACAAAAGAGCTGAGAGAACTAACAAAATTATGGATTAAAACCCAGTTGGAAAAATGTTTCCTGGTCTGATGAGTCATTTGAATGGTAGGGCCAGAACTTTGCTTAAACAAAACAAAAGCATAGACCTGCCTTCCTACCTTGTAACAACCGGTCCAGCTGATAAGGGAGGTGTAATAGAGTAATAGAGTTTGGGATATTTTCTTGACACACCCTGGGCCCCTTAGGTCCGACTAAGCATCATTTAGCAGTTGCTGTATTGTCTCAGACTTTGTCCATCCCTTTATGACCACAGTGTACCCATCTTCTGACAATTGCTTCCAGCAGGATTGCATACCATCTCAAAAACTCAAATCATCTCAGACTCCCCATTAGTAATAAAACTACAGCTGACATACTTTCAGGAACATGTTGTGAGGGCTAATTATGCACCTGTGATAGAAGAAATCAGTGACTCAGTTGATGGATGAATGATTCAGCCTATTCAGTAACTGGTAGAATTACTATTTTAAAGATGAATGTGCTCCTATTGTTATCTTTAGCCAAAACATTCTCCTGTCACCTCCAAAAAACCCCAACTAGCTGTGAGATTCATATATTAATTAAAAAACAGAAATGTGTTTGCCTCTGTTATACTTGCCTTGTGATTGTAAGGGGGCAGAAATGTCCAAGCTTACTGTTGTATCATTATGCAGCACAGCTGAGGTCCATTATGTTTTATTTATCAACAGATGATATTCCTCACTGGGCACACGTGGAACCTTATGGTCTAAAACTAGCGCTTCCAGTTTACTTACTCTCAGATACAATGAAAAAGCTGCAAAAGCAAACTGGTCATCTTTAAATTAAAATTCTGACAAAAAATTTGGTGTGATGTAAGAATAAAAAAGACCTTTACAATATAGCCCAATATGTGGTGACCACAGGAAGTGCAGGCGCCAGATTTAAAATTTGGCTTTCCAGGGGTTTCAATTCAAAAGCTCTATCTCCTTTTGAAAAACTCCTGCAGTTAATAGTTTTGCAAAAACCCCATCAACATAATTCCCTTACTAGCCCTCTACAAATACTTTTTGAAATAATGAGGACTGTTTAAGAGCCAAATATAAGAGAATTTTAGGCTTTCTTTCCAGTTCGCATTACAGGCTAATGCGAATATATGTAACACCTGTCAACTTCAGTGCTTAGAATGATAAAATACCACACATACGCAGCAGAGGCACAGAGGCTAACACTGTTTCACTGTGTTTGGCAGCACAGAAAGAGTAAACTCTTCACTTTGGGAGGCGATCAGAGTGACACGTGACAAGACTAGTTACCCGTACAGGAAAATGTTCCTAGCATGTGAGATTGTGCGTCATAGGTGTGGTCTACATACCGTCACCTTCTCTAAATCAGCTTCTGAGGAGGTGGGAGACAAGGGGCTGATGGGACTGAGGGAAGGGGAGCTTCCGACACTGGAGACGTACTCGGGGTCAGGAACGTACAGAACCTGCAAACACAATCCACGTCTGTATTTACACAAGCACCACCTTTGTGCACCTCACACCAAAGACAAACACATGCACGCACGCACACACAGACAACAGGTAGAGAATCTCTCACACAGCTCAACAAATGTGACATGGCAAATAACATGAAATCAAGTGAACAGTTTCATGATAATAACACAATTAACACATGGAGGGAAAGTGACAGTCATGAAGGTAAGTCAGTGTTTCGCAATCAGAGACAGATGTAATGTGTGTTTGGTTTCATGTTTAAAAGATACATATTGTAAATGAAGTCCATGCTGATAGATTGTATTTATTCTATTCCGCCCAGTTAATTTAAATTTGTGTATGTCGTATTAGAGAATACAGACAGGAGACTGATAATAATAATAAGCAGCTACTAGTGATGAGATGCTACCTGGAGTTACTTGGTGAGGTTGGACACATAGTATCGTTTGCAGGTGTTCACAGGGAAATTTTGCAACTTTTGGATTAAGGCCAGCCAGTCATGTTAAGGCAAGCGAATTGTGTCTTAGCTTTAGCTCCATATTTAGGTGCAGATTTCTATCATCATGCAAACTATTTTTTTTAGGAAAAATCAATGAGGCAGACTTTCTTCTAATGAAGTGCTACCTCTGCAGTGACATCTGCACTATGCACTGCAATAAAAACGGTTAGTTTTTTGTGTTAGACATTTTGCACTAAGGTTTTTATTTAGTCGTAAGTCTATATAAGGTTCTTCCGATGTTTGGTCTCAACAAGGGGGGGATTTTGAGCTGATATCTAGATAAAGCTTCAGTGTAAAAACCATGGAGCTGCTTTTGCTGTGGTATAGCATCTGTCTCAGCAGTAGACGTAGAGACGAAGGTTCAGTAAGCGCTGTCAGCACCCTACTGTTTGGACGCAGATCAACTCTGCATTGTTTGCCGAGAGCAGAGAGACAGAGACAGAGAAAGGGTGGGATGCCAGCGGGATTGGCGTATGTGGCTCATCTCCATTCGACCGGATTTGATTTTCAAGCCAGGAAATACAGAGACAAAATATCATTTTGGATGTTTGTCACTTTCCCCGTTTAAAAAAAACAGATTTCAAATTTGGCTCTATTGCTGTGGAAGGAAACATCAAAGACGTGGAAACTGGCAGCGTGTTTAGCAGGCTAAACATGGGTAGTTTGTGTCATGTTGTCGGAACTACAGCGTCACTGGGAGACGTATCATTATTCCTTTATAGAAACAAAATAGGTCTTTTGCAATGAACTACATCCTAATGGGACAAGTGATGCTGTAATTAGCAGGCAATTAAGGAGGGATACAGAGAATAGGGATGTGGTTAGTGTGTCAGGGAGGGGCTTTGAGAAAGTAGAAGGCTAAACACATGCAGCATGTAATGCTCCCTAAAATCTCCAGTTTTTCCAGCTACATTCAGAAAATGTTTAGAGCTCTGCGAATGCATTATGAACTGTCAAAAATAGTCATTATGAGATCAGGCAGTCAGTGGGTGGCTGTGGATGGATGTGAGGCTGCTGTAGGACAGTGATGAAGTGATGCAGCTGAATATATCAGTGAAAGCGTGCACGGCGGGTCACACCTGGCCAGGCACCACTGCTCTGGAGAACAGCTTGTTCAGCTGAACCAGCTCGTTGGGTGTGGTGTCAAACTTGAGCGCAATGCTGTTCAACGTGTCCCGCGATTCCACCTGGACCACAAAACAAGAGAGAGGACAGAAAAATCACACTGCTGCTCCGGCTCAGGGCATTTCTTTACAGCTGTGCACGTCAGACATGAAGGCATAAATGGGCTCTCATACAGCACTACTTGCTTTTTATACATGTCTCATTCACCCGTTCACATACATACACACTGACACACGGAGCACAATACATGATGACAGACGGATAAAGAATATCTGAAGAGAAGAGCTGTGAAATGATTTCTTTAAAGGGCTTAATGTGGCTTGTGTTTTGCATGTTAGATTTTGGGATGTTATGCAGATTAAAGCTGTCAGCTGTTGACCAGAAATAGATTCCCATGGGATGTAGTGTTGCAAGCAGAAATGTGAACTGACACGAATGTCAGCAGCAGTCTTGTGTTACCCTGTGAACCACTCGTGTAGCAAGTTTTCTTCATTTAAAAACAAGAAGCAGTTTTATTTGTTAGCACAGACAAAGACTACAACAATGAATAAAAATAATTATTGTACCTTTTTTTTCCCATTTTCTCCATCACTTAACTTAATAGATACTCGAAAACTCTATGCCAACGGTAGGTTTTCTAATCTAATGTTCGCTAAACCCCTTCCTGAAAACACTATAATCACAGCTTATCATCTAAGATCTGCTCATTCAAATGTCCCCACAAGGTTAAGAGTGGTAACCTACTGATTAAAAGATGCTGCCTTTTTTCCCCAAGAATTAAAAATAAAACAGCTAAACCATAATTAACATGATAAACAGGCTCAAAACTGTGTTTGTCCTAGTCCACTATACTGGAAAAAATATGTAGACTACTAAACTAAGCTAAAAGTAAGAAAGTTAATCGTTGCATTATCACACAAATACAGCAGTCTTACTGGCGTTTGGTTAACAAAATCACTCTGAAGATACCCCCTGACTGCGAGTGGGTGCAGACCTGACCCCCATCTTTAAAGCAACCTTTTTGAAGTTTATTGCACATGGTTGCATTAATGTTGGTAGTGCCACGGTCTCCAACCACTGTCTTCCTTAGTGTGACTGCAGCATTACTGTGTCAGTAGTCAACAAGAAAGTCAATTCCTTACTTCAAAACTGCTAGCTTAATTTCAAAGATACATAGCATAATTTATTAATAGATTTATATATTCATAAATCTGTATCAGAGAAACAATTACTACCTAAAGCTTTAAAATAAATATAGTAGCGAAACTGCTGTGCTGCTACATGCCACAGGAATTGCTACTCGAGAGAGAGACGGGGTGGTTAATGTCAGCCTGACGCAAACTTTACAAGAAATCTGCCAAATTTAAAGGTGGTGGCAAACTTAACAAGCAGCTCCTCTGCATACAACTTTCATTTTAGCTTCCTCTTAAACCAGGTGTGCAAAACAAACTGACAAGTCTTTAAAAAAATTTTTTTTAATGTGATACTCCGGCTTCCTCCCACAGTCCAAAGACATGCAGTCAGTGGGGTTAGGCTAACTGGAAACAGTAAATTGCTCATAGGTGTGAATGCGGGAGTGAATGTGAGTGCGATTGGTTGTCTCCTGTCTGTGTGTTAGCCCTGTGACAGACTGGCGACCTGTCTAGAGTGTACCCTGCCTCTCGCCCTAACACAGCTGGGATAGGCTCCAGCACCCCCCGTGACCCTGACAAGGATAAGTGGAAGCGAATGGATGGATGGAACTAGGAAAAAAAACATTAATGACAGTTTACTGCGATTCATTACACCCTCACTGAGCTGAATGAGATGGTGGCTGGCCAATGAACTTGCCCAACATAGTTTTTTTTAGTGGCTCCAGGCTATCGGGCCATCAGCTATTATGCACCCGAGTTAGTTTTCAACATACAACAGCGACTGAATATCACCAAGAAAGAACAAGCATTACTGACATTATTTTGCGGGGCAGTTAACAGCAGTCAAGATGTTATTTGGCTGCATTTTTTCTCAGATTTGTTTTGGGTTTTTAAAAAAAAAAAAAAAAAAGTAGATCCAAAATAAAAAACATTTACTTTAGCCTGTATTCACTGTTTTATTGTCTCTGATTGGTTACATATCAAAACTAATATCCCATCAACACTGTCACAGACGGACGCACAGGTGCGCACTGTGCAGGCTGGGGCTGTTACAGATGCAAGGTAGCTAAATGTGTCAAAAGTGCAGTTGCTATATAAGAAAGTATGGTTCTGCCGTTATCCAAAAACAATATTTTGTTTTATCAATAGCTCGAAATCCAACAATATTCACACTGAATGTAAATCAAATATTACCAGCCAGTGCTCATAATTGAGGAGCTGGACTCAAAGAGCTGCTTTATATGAACAACTTTTATTTATTTTCTAAACAAATCATCCTAAACCATATCAAGCAGGAAAAAAAACAAGCAGAAGAAGCTGTAGTGCTTCATGTTATTTGATGTTCAACATCATGCGGGTTGTTGTGCTGCTGTGGCGGCACTCTGTGCTCAGCTGCAGCATCAGCTGCAGTGTGACACAGGTGCGTTTGCATGTCTCTACCAGTTAAAATCCACACAAGAAAGATGTGCACCAAGAGTCAGAACTAGTTAAGCATCTAACATGTCCAGTGGGAGTTTCTAGCTCCCAAATAAGGATGACAACCATGGCAGAAAGAGCATGTGGAAGAAAAAAGTGAGCTCGGGGGAGAGAACCCTTAAAAACCAGATAGGCAAGGCTGACTCTGAAATGTGCATAATTAGGACAGGATAATGACACTGTGTGTTTTAGTGCAGCAGTCATGGGACCGACTCGGTTGTTCTTCTTCTTATCTATGGAAACACTCCTAGAAAAGCACAGAGGAATGACAGGCTTCTTCAAATTCCTGACATGACAGACTATTTTCAGGAAGATGTTCCTTCACAGACAGACAGATGTGCAAGCAGAGACACACACAGAGGACAGTCACAAGCTGGAACATTAGTAACATGGAACCACTGCGAGTGAGGCAGTTGCACGTTATATCTGAAGAAGCTCGTCACAAGCAGAAAATACACAAACTTAGAAACCACTAAAAAAAAACTGTGTTTCATGAAACACTAACACTGCCCTCTTTAGCACATTCACAAATTGGTGCCACTGTATTGCATAATAATATCACAAGATGAAGCGATACAATATACTGCAAAGTGGATATTCTGCCGCACTGCAATAGGACATCAGTATGATACACTCATGTGCAGCTCCTCAGCTGACGGAAATAAATTTGTCTAAGTGTGCAGGACAACATGAAATATAATAAACAGACTTGCAACCTTGGGTAAAAGGCTCTGGGACATCATGGGTTTTACATCATATAGAACATGTTTGTATCCATCGAATTTTAGTTGGATACACCTAACAAGTTTTTTTTATTATCAGGATTTATTTTCCCACCTTTACTTTTGCTTATCAAATGCTCAAAGAACACAGAAAATGCTTTGACTTTTGCTAATTAAGGTTACACACATTCTTCACCTAATGACATGTACATAAATCATGTTCACTCTCAGTCACCCTGTCCTGTTTTGAGCCCAGAAAAATCCTGGACATGTTTTCTTTGTGCTGCATGTCAATCAAACACTAATCAACTTTCATCAGTGTCAGCACCATGCTGGACTACAACTACTCAGATATTTTTAATTGGTTAAAAATATTGAAATGTTTCAGTAAAGACACTTCATTGATGATGCAATGAATCACCCACTTAAGAAGAAGCCATTGATATATCGGACTCCCACTATCTCCGGAAAGACCCTATTAGAGTAAGTGACAATAAAGTCATCTGAGAAAAGTAGATAACAATGGCAGAAATCCTGCAGAGCTGACTAGCAAAAGGCTAATTATCATAGACGTATAGTGACAGTAACACTGCTGGGTCACTTGTTTGGGGTCCATAGCACAGCTCATTAGCTTTTGGAGCTGATGTACCTTGTGATACTGGTCACTTACTGGTGGGAACATCCTCCGCTACTGAGCAATTAAAAGAGTGTGAGAGAGCATATCTGGAAGCTCAACAATATACAGCCGGAGAGGCGTCGAAACGAAACCTGCACAAAAATTGTCAGAAATCTCAGAAACTGACAAATTAACTACTGAATCGCTGTTATTGTCTGTCCTGTCCTTACGAGAGCTGGAGTGGAGCCTGAATTAGCCAGGGTTACACTAATCTGGGTTGAGAGAGTGTATGCTGAGTGCTAACCCAGACTTTGGGATTTTATTGTCCTACCTGGAAGGGAACAAACTAATCAGCTCAACCAGGTCAGTCACGCTGCTGGGAAGCAGTCCTCCTGAATCACCAATGTGTGGAACCCAACAAAACAGTACTGCACAATGCATTGTGCAGTATGGATTGGCTCGGTGACAGTCACAGGTTTCACTGTAAGCGGAAATATACCACAGATGATGCAAACCTGTATCGGCAGCTCTCCTTTAGCCTTCTATAAAGCTTATTGTTAACACTCGCTCAGGTGACCCTGAACCCTCCCAAGGCTTTGCTGCAAAAGGCCTAGGCTGCCGGCTTCCCATAATTTCATTATGTCTTTCTTCCTCGCTCACCTCTTTTCACTCTCTATGTGTTTATACACTACTCTGAACATAATATTCTAAATTCAAAACAATAATATCTTTCACCAGCTTCAGTGAGGAAGTATGCAGACAATTGTATGTTATACATGTGAAATATGTATCCAAAAGTGTATTTTTGTATGTAACTGTGTATCCAGATCTGCCCTGTTCCACAAAAACATCTCCCTTGAAGGGTCAAAAAGGGAGATACATAATAATACAGCAGTCTGCCGAGCTGATTCAATCATCCAGCTTTATTAAATGTTGATTTGTTCATTTTCTCAGAAACAAATCGAATTAGAAAAGTATCCTTCATATTTCAAAATGCTATTGGATACCTTTAGATTTTCAGTCCCTGCTCATCACGTCAGATTTAATTCAATCAAAATTGAGATTAAGATAAACGAAAGCTGTACAGCAAACAGGCAGTAAATACAGGAACAAAC